GAAGACCAGGCTGACCTCGAACTTAAAAAGATCCACCTGCCAGCCGGGTGGTGGTGGCACATGCCTTTAATCCCAGCACTTGGGAGGCAGAGGTAGGTGGATCTCTGTGAGTTCGAGGCCAGACTGATCTACAAGAGCGAGTTTCAGGACAGGCCCCAAAGCTAAAGAGAAACCCTGTCTTGGAAAAAAAAAAGATCCACCTGCCTCTGAAGGGCAGTGCACCACCATTGCCTGGCAAGCAGGTTTTAAATGAACAGAACCTGGGGGACAGGAATGGTGGCTAGCCCTCCTCTTAGAGTTGGCTGAGACTTCTAGTCCCTGTGGCACCCAGAGCTGTTGAACCCTTAGACTTCTGCCCCAAGCCCTTTTTCTTTACCCCTTGTAGAGAACTAAAAATCGGGCTGGGGATGAGCACTCTCAGCCCCTGGAGCACACGATGATTGCGCACACGATGATTGCGCACACGATGATTGCGCACGCGATGAGTTACACTAGTGGAGCTGCTTGGATTATCCTGGGAACCTGGAAAGCATGTGTGACCTCAGGAACCCGCCTCCCTAGAGAATGCAGCCTCTGTTCTGAGGCCCTTGCTTACCCACAGTGTCCGGCTTGGTGGCCTGGATGTGTAGGTAGCCACTCTCCCTCACGATGCTGTTGAAAACCTTCTCCTTGAAGGGGTACAGCAGCTCGATATCCCGCTCAGTGTAGCCAAGGAATCTCCCGAAGCGCTGGCCCAGGAGTGGGGTCAGGGTGTAGATATTTTTTGTCATGAAAGCTATATTCAAGTGTAGGCCTTTCACGTGGCTGTGGACCGAGAAACAGGCACAGGTGATTTTGCCTGCTATGAAGGACTTGGGGAAGAGATGGAGGAGGACAGAGACAGGCCACAGAACTGAAGAGCACAAGCCAGCCTCCTTCACCAATCTGCCCCAGTGGGAACGTATGGACTTGGAGGTGAGGGGCGGGAAAGGAACTCTAGAGAGTTCTGGCCAGGACAGTTTCAGAGTCTGCGAACTGTGAAGGTCAATGAGCTTGCAGCCCATGGACCACATGTATACCAGGAAAGGTATGAACGCCACGCAGTACACTGTAGGTGATATCGGATTGTGGTGTCAGAATCCACCATGGTTGGACAGCCGTGGATGTCAGTGTATCTCTCCTCACTGTGATTAGCCTGGGTGCCTGTCTAAGGGCCACCACTCTCGTGTTACTCCAGGAGGAGGGTGGGGCCAGTGCATTTCATTCTTAGATATCCCTCTTCGGCACCATGGAGGACTTAGCTTAGAGGGAGCGCCCAGTCTCCCTCTGAAGAGGACCTAGGGTGAACAGCCCTATGTCCTGTGTAGATGGTGTACACACAGATCCTGGCGAGGTTGTGCCATGCCTGGAAGACTACATCGACTCACTTGGGAACCATCTGGGCCATGTTGGTGCAGATGAGGGACCCCCAGTCCCCGCCTTGAATGTAGAA